CCGGGCGGGCTGCAGGCTGCAGCGGGAGACGCCCGGTAGCCGCGGCGGTCGGGGCGCCCGCCTGGGGCCGCCAACTGTGCCCTCTGCGGGCGGCGGGTGACAGGCGGGTCGCTTTCTCCGGTCCCTGGTCCCCGTGTGGGAACCGCCACAGCCCCTTCCCCTCCCCCGCCTCCTCCCTCGGGCCTGGGCAGGTCTGGAGGATGCATGCGCCATGAGAGCGTGCGTCAGCCCCGGGGGAGCCGGAGGGAAGCGTTCCGGGCGCCGGCCGCATCTCTAGCCCTGGCGCCCGCGGCACCCCCACCCACGCCAGCCCACTCCACCCACGCCGTGCCTCGCCTTCCCAACTGTTCCGGCCCCGGGACTCCGAGGTTCCTTCTGGGCAGGGACGGACTTGTTGACAAGTTCACCTGCCGCGGCGCTAGGTGTTTGCTTTTTCTCTTCGCCCCGTTGCCCATCTTTGGCGGAGGTGGCAGGGAGCAGATGGGTGCCTCTTTATAACCACTAGTGCCAGGAGGCCTGCGCTTGGTCTCCCGCAGGCGAGGTGCTCACCAGCTTTGGACCCGACTGGAGCAGGAGTCCCTAAGCGGGCCAGGTCCCTGCAAACCCTGACTCGTTTCCTTAGGGTGCTACTGACTCCGCCTTTCCTGCCCTCGGGCTATTGCAGCTCCTGCTTCCTTTAGAAGCGAACGTATCCTGTTGTTATGTCTGCCTTTGCCCAGAGGCCCCCTCCACTTCCATTAACCTTTCCCACTGTTTTTTTTTTTTTTGCTTGGAGTGTCCCCAAAGCCCCTCATCTTCTCTTTGGGGGTCTTTTGCTGGGAAAAGGTATTAACTGCCTGGTTGGGGAGATTTACAGTTTAGAAAGAAAATCAGGTTCTCTTCTTTTTAGATAGCATAAAAAAATCACGAGAAAAGGTGCTGGGTAGCAGCCTTAGAAACTGAGATCTGGTAACTTCATAAAAATTATCGGGGCCTGGAAAGTATATCACCAGCTGGTTTGAGAATGATATTGAATGTAGGTAGAAAGGCACATAAGGCGCTGGCCACTAAGGTCCTATAAATTATGACTCATTGCAAACATGTTCATGTCCAAACATTTCAGTAAAGTCTCTCCAGAAGAATCTCGAATTGGTTTCTGTGGACCTTTAGTTTAGATTTTCTGAGATCTGAACTATTCCTGGGGGTTAGGGAGTGAAACAGGAAAGGCTTATTAGTTTGAGATCAGTGCTCCAGACTCAGTTTCTTACCGTCTATTTAAATCACATACACAGTCTAAAAATACTTTTAAGTGGGTTTTCAAACCAGTTTCTTTTTAGATTTTAGTCTTTATTCTTGAAATATCCTGTGTAGAGAATACCATAGGGGCAAAATCAGTTTATAATTCTTAATAATTCAAACATCACTGTTTGGTTTTAACTGCTATGTATATATTTAATTACTGGAGATGTGGCTTTCTAATTGTACCATTTTGGGTAATATAGGTAGACAATTCTATTATTAAAGATGAGTGTTTAGAAAACAACAGTTAAGCAACCTGAGGTTAAAAAATCTGTGGATACTCCATTCATGGATCATTAAATGGTAAAGGCACTGGATGGTAAATGCCTAGACAGTATATTTCATAGCTGTCTTTCCTCCATTTGGTATACTTGAGTATCTGACTGATTTCCATGAGCATCTTTATTGTCATGCATTTCTTTCCATGTCAACCTTGTGACAGATACAGAAAATTTTGTTGCTCAAAAGAAAATCTTCAAAACTGCTGCACTTTCAATATATTTGACTAAACAGTACTTTTTTTTTCAGATGCAGGCAGGGAAGTGTGGTAACTGAAATCACATGGTAGGGTCAACCTAAGTTGGTGTGAAATTTAGAGTTACAGAAACCTCATATAAGAGAAGGTGGGAAAGTTGATAGACCACAAAGATCAGAAAAATCTTTTCCTTTTTATTGGTTGAGTTCCACAGCTAGAAGCCTGAGGGTAGGTGGCAATATTTAGGATCAGTGCCCTGGTCACAGATGTCCTTTTTATTCCATTTGTATTATCAGATTTATGGGAACCATAGTCAAAGATGCTATCTGCATGTTTTTCATGAGGCATTAGAGATCACTAATTAATTAACCTTATCCCCATCCTCACCCCCATCTAGAATCTGCCTTAGCAAAGCCTTGAACTCAAAGACTGATACAGGAGAAAATATTTTTTCCCATTTTTTCCTAAGCTGTCACATTTTGTACCAAAATCATACCTAGCATCGTGGAAGACGTACAGAGGGCACATAGGCTTTGGATCCTAAAAGAACAGGATTGGAACCCTAGCTGCAACACCTAACTAGCCATGTGACTTTCAGCAGGTAACTTATGCTCTCTATCTTATATCTTTTCTTATCTATAGAGCAAGAATATCCACCTTGTGGGGTTGTAGTTGGAATTAGAAATAATGTATTCAAATGCTTTACACAGTAAATAGAACTCAAGTAATAGCAATAAATTATTCTTTTACATGCTAAACCTATGTGCTATCTGTATCTGAAAAGGATGCTACTGCTGAAAAAGATAGGGAATGTGATTTAGTTTGGAGTAGTTCAAGTGTTTTGTAGCAATACTAAGATCTTGGGCTTTCTGGAATACTCCCTGAGGCTGGGAGATTCAATCTGTGGTCCAGGAACAAAGCAAAGCTAATTTGTTCCAGTGGGGATAGATCTTCCAGCCCCCTGCCACTCAAATGTGATCCATAGACCAGCAACAATGGCTTCCCCTGGGAGCTTGTTAGACATACAATATTTCAACCTGCCCTCACCTGCCCCCCCCGCCAGGCCCACTGAATTCAAATCTGCATTTTAACAAGATCTTCAAGTGATTCATGTGTATATTAAAGCTTGATAAGCATTGTCCTAACCTGGTATTTATCAAACTTTTGTGACCAGTGGAAGCATTTGGGAACTTGTTAAATGGGGACTTCCAGCCTGGCTTCTTTCATCTGCTCTTAACACCTCAGGCGGCTCTAAGAAACACGGCACTAAACTCTATCCAGCATAGTGCTCTAAGATGGGACAGTGCCCACTTCCTTAACAAAGCATTTTGGCAAACATGATCTTTTTTTTTTTTTTTTATATTCCACCCCCTTTGAAGTAAGTAGGTATTACTTATAAGAAAATTAAGACTGCAGGCATGATATACCCTTGATAATGCATATGGTAGAACTGTCTTGAACCTCTATGAATGCTAGTGAACCGTGTTTTCACTACTCCAGTGTCCAAATGAATGTACTCTGTGTGTATGTGTGCGTGTGTGTGTGTGTGTAAGTAATTTCAAATACTAATGAATCTCTCCAGGACAGGGGTGACTATACATAATAGGGTATTTTATAATGCTTTTAATATAAAACCTTCCTTCTCTGACTGCAGGCCATTTACTTAGGGTAACTGATTTTGAACTTGATCCATAACATGAGGATGATGTCGACTTGGCAGTATTTTCAGGATAAGCATAATGTGCATCTCAGTGTCTGAGAAGTGGTAGTTCCTCAACTAATAGCAGTTACTTGTTCCAATATAGACCTAGTGAGACAATGGGTTCATGAAAAGCTGAGAAAATGGCATTGCTTATGATGAGAAGTCTTTCCTGCTAAGTCAGATGACATCATTCATTACGCCTTTGGCCCAAGCAGAGAAGTGGGGTTCACTACTCAGTACTCAGCAAACATTTGTTGTGTGTATGCTGTGTATCATGCAATGTGCTAGTACTGGGAATCCCAAGACAAGACCCACACCCTGCCCTGCTCTGGAGGAACCTACAGCCTAGTAAGGGAGATGGAAGAGTCTGCTGACAATTAAATTTCAGTGAAAGCAAGGAGGGGATGAAACCCAGGACCAAGGCACCCCACCCAGATGATAGAACAGGAAAGAGCACAACCAGAAAACCTGAGAAGATTCATGGAGGAGGTGACTCCTGAGGTAAGCCTTAAAAAACCAATAGGAATTTGGTAGGTGAAAAAGGGTTGAGTGTAGAGAGAGAGAGTTCCCAACATGGTATCCAGGTTACAAAGAAAATACTGGCAAATAGTCCTCATGTCTGGAGCCCAACATATATGTGTGTCCTTATCAGCTGAGTGACCTTTGGCAAATTTGATCATCTTTGAGTTGAGAGAATTAAATGTATTCATCAGGGTAAGCACAATTCTAGTTTCAGTTATGTGCTAGATAGTCATGGAGGTGTGGAGGTATTAGAAAACAGAGGACTGATGTTAAAAAGTGATTAGGATTAGAGAAAATTAAAGAGGTCAGTTTTAAAATACATTTAACAGAAAATATGTAGAATTAGAAGAGAATGCCTGTAAAAGGATAACTGAATGCAATTCAGTACCATGGGGTGGGAAGCATGAGGTACATGTGTTCAGGAATGGATCCCTGAACACTTAGGTAATGGTATATTGTTAACCCTGAGAGTCTAGATTTAGGAGTGGAAAGGTCCTGTTGTTCTGATGGTGAGAGTATTTGTACAAGGAGAGACTACAGAGCATTTTGGCCACTTCCCCAGAGCACACATTAAAATCCATTCCATTACTTGTCACCATTATGATCCCTCACACCCACTTCTCTGTTCCCAGAATAGGGCATGGACACCAATGTCTCAAACTTAAAGGTACTTGGGAGAAATCTAGTCTTCTCTGCCTGTTTCTGGAGAAGTATATCCTAAGCCAAAGATCAAGGAGATAATCGTAATAAATGGTGCTCCCTCTCCTTATTGGTGGGAACCCTGATAGCCACCAGAAGTCCATCATCAAGGTTTTGTTGTGCACAAAAACCATGATGGTAATGGATTTAGGACTAACATAGCACCTAAGCCTGGGACTAGAAGAGATTGTTTTTTAGAAACAATTTTATAGAAGCGGAGCCCATTATCCAATCTCTTTCACCCAGGAGTAGAGAGGAGTGGTTAAAAACAGGAGCTGGGGAGTCATAAGCAGACCTGTTTATCAGTTGTTGACTTTGGGCAAATTATTTTACCTTTCTAAGTTTTTTTTTCTCACTTGCAAAATGAGGTGGTATCCCTTTCATGGTGGCTGTGTCCACACATGAGATAATGCTGTTAAGTGCTTCACACATGTAAAGTGCTCAGTGAATTGTAGCACATAATTATTGTCTTTTGTCCAGAACATATTTACTAAAGGCCTGCTGTGTTTCAGGTACTGTGCTTGGTGTAAGGAGGCAAAGATGAACCAGTTAGGGTCCCTGCCTTCAAGGAACTTGCAGTGTAGTGCAGGAGATGCAGATGTAATTAGCTCAGTGCAGGAGAGCAATGGGAGTATAGGGTACCACCTGCATGGGGCAGTTAAGGACTATAGTTGAAACAGGAATGGGAGGTCTCTGGGTGTGGAAGGGTGGGTGTTTGTTAGGAAAGCCCTCACTGAGGTGGTGACATTTGAGGAGAGGCTTGAAGTAAGCTGTAAGTTGGCCAATTGGACAAAAGAGGGGAGGGCATTTCAAGGGAAGGAAGAAACTTCACAGAGTCTTGGCATAGCATATTCAGGAAAGCTCTAACATTCTGAAATGGCCAGAAGGAATAGTTCTGTGTGGAGTATAGCAAAATTTTGAATTTTGCATTTGGATTTTTTGCCAAGAAGTTTCTCTAGTGGCAAGAGAATACAATTAAAGCATTTGGAGTGGGAAGGCAGCATGATTAGATCTGCATATTAAAGTAATAGTTCAGACCATGGTATGAAAGATTGGAATGGGCAGATCTAGGCATAGTGTTGCCTCGGGAGGCCTAGACTAAGTCCTGGCTGTCAACATAGAAAAGAGAAAATGTATTTAATAGCTTTTGAGGAGGTAGAATGGAGAGAACTTGGAGACTGGCTATAAAAGATGAGAGAGAAGTCAAGTTTCTAGTTGGGACCATTCAGTAGATTTTCTACAAGTGATTAACATAGGAGCCACGGGGGGCGGGGATGATTTGGGGATGCAGATGGAGAGAGATAGGTTCTGTTTTAGATGTGCTGAATCTGAAGTACCTGTGGGACATCCAGGTGAAGATTACAATAGGGAGATGGGAATTTAAACACTTCTCCAGAGCACCAGGTCCATATTTCCATCTCCCTACTGGAGAGCTGTTTAATTCTGGACTTCATTGGCACACAGCTGTTGGTTGAAGCCACAGAGTGGATTAAATCACCCAGAGAGGCAAGTGAAGTGCAGCAGAAGACAACCAAGGTCAGAACCTTGCAGATCACTGATATATGAGATGTAGGCCCAGAGAAAGCGGAGCTAACAAAGAAATTAGAAAAGCTTCAAATGTGCAGAGTGTTTGCTGAGCACTTAAGAATGGGAGCTTAGTCAAAGGTCAAGCAAGATGAAGACTTGAGTTGGGTTCATAGTGAAAAACTTTCTCTGGCATGGTGGAGAAGGGAACCAGTCTGTATGGGCTTAGAAGAACTCAGCAAAGAGAAGGAAGAGATGGTAACTGGGAGAAGAAAGAGGTTGAAGAACATGGGCTTATGGCAGAAAGGGAGGTTGATTAACTTGAAGAGAAAATAGTTGGGCAGGTACAGCAAAGACTGCTCGTTGTTGATGGTGCCAGAATGTCTCCGTATGACCTCTCTAATATGGCATTTCAGGACTCCAAGAGGAAGTATTCCTAGAGAAAGTGCTCCAGCAAGCACCATAAAAGCTGCAGAGTGAAGCTGTCATACAAACTATTTAGCTTCCATATTGTTTTCTGGAACACTAGTCAACAGTGCTAGCTGATTCTGTCTTCAGCCATCCCAGCAGGAAGAGAAGGGGAAAGGAAGGGAGACCCATCCCTTCCAGAAAAAAAGAAAGGAACAACAGTAGTTATAGTCATGGTGCTGGATAGTTCCAAAGAAGTGCGCAGTGGTGCATGAAGAGTGGAAGCTATGAAAGAAGATGCCTAGCACAATGCCAAGAGCCATGATTCCCTACAGTGAATGAGGGAGACTGGTCATCATCACCCTGGGGAGTTTTCTTCCACCTGATGCTCCCTGAAGGCCAGGATTAGTGTCCTTGTACCTAATGCTCTCTCTTCAGTGTTGCCATAGGCAGCATGGGCATCATTGTGAAGTAGGTAAACTTTGCATTGGTGCCAAACCCCTCCCTCCTTTCTGCTTCCTGCTTCTCTCTTCCCTGCACTCCTGACTTGGACCTGCACCCCTTTGGACTACTTCCTGGTTATTCTACCTGCCCTACCAGGTATATGCCCATGGCCCTGTCTTTCCTGATCCCCATCAAAAAACCAGTCTTGTGCCTTATTTACTCTGGGTGTTGCTGCTATTTAATCCTGTAAGCTTCTTCCCTAAGAGAGTGGAGAGGATTTGGGAAAGAGATCTTCTGCTAGTTCTCAAATAACAGCAACTAGATGACCCAGTGTAGGCAAGGGTGGCTCTGTTAGTTGGGGTACATGAAAATATAGAACTTTCTGTCTGCTTCCCTTTGCTGTTTGACTTTTATTTTAAGGTCCCCTTCTTGCTTCTCCCTCCCCTGCCAGGGCTGCCTTCATCCCTTGCTAAGCCAGCCCAAACTCAAACATGAGTTAGTAGCTACAGCTTTACCAAGGAAAGTCCTTGACTATGCGCCATTTCCAGAAAAAGGAGCTGTGGTGGTTTGTTTACAGGACCTGTGCAGAGTATAGACATTTTATAAACTACCTATTGGTATGTGTGTATTTCAGTAATTTAAGACTAATGAAAGAGGCTTACTCTTTGCTTTGGGACATTTTCTTCAGTCTTCATTTCTCAGTTCTTTCCCCTGTGAAAAGAGGAGATTGGACTAAATGACCTATAAATTCCCTGCTAGCTCTGAGTGATCCTGTGGAGGCATAAGAAATTAATTGATCATCTCTGTAATGTGCTTCAATTTACGAATTTAATGTTAAAGAAAGAACCTTGTAAACATTAGTGTCTCCCTAATTTTCTGATTGTTGACATTATGCTTATGTGTAATTTCATATATGCACATACTTCCATCATACCTGTAATATTAACCATTCATATATTTGTATATGAATTATATATAATGTATTTCATTTGTAAATATATATATATACTTTGTAGGTATATATTTATATATGAATATATAAATGTATATAGAGAAACAGTCTTTATCTTTTCACTTTTAGTGGTCTTTTTTTCTTTTAATGGTCTTATAGTAGTTTATTAATTTCTTATTTCCATGAATCTGATTTGAAACTATTAGTGCATTTTGCACATAGATTTGGACTTTTTAAAGCAACGTATAATGAAAATATGGAAGTCATTTAAAAAACTGTAAACATGTGTCTGTATATATATCAATATACACACATATACAGTCTTTGTATATATATATATACATATATATGTATGTATATGGAATTTTACTTTTGTAATGACATTTCTGACAGAATAATTATCAGAGATTCTAGGGAGAAAGAACTATTTAAAGATATTTAATCTGTACAGAATATTGGTGGCCTGAGTTATGAAATTAATTTCTAGCTCTTTGCTAATTTGCTTAATACCTTAGACCAAGGCTGTCTGTGAAAATATAATGGCAGCCACATATGTTATTTAAAGTATACTGGTCGGTACATTTAAAAAAATAAAAGGGAACGGGTAAAATTAGGTAATATATTTTATTTAACCCAATATGTCCAAAATATTATTTTAACATAAAATACAAAAATAAGTATATAAATATAAAATAGAATGTATAAATATGTATTTATATATAATACAGTGATATATCAAAATATGAATATATACAAATATGTCGATAGAGAATACATATGCTTTTTATAAATATAAAATATAAATATAAAATGTAGATTTATCAATGAGATGTTTTACTTTTGGGGGGTTATACTATGTCTTCAAAATCCAGTGTACACTAAAAGCATATCTAAATTCAGACTGGCCATATTTCAAGTGCTCAATAGCCAAAAATGGCTAGTGACTATTATATTTCGGCAACATGATGTTAGATGATAAAGTTAACTTATTTCAGATTTTTCTCCCATAAAATTTTAAAATTGGTAAGAGCTTTCCAATTATAAAATGCTGTTTTGAAATATAATTTAAGGAAAATATTTATTCGTATCATTTAATAATGTTCTGTGCTGGCATTTGACGGGTATATAGTATTTCTTTGCAGAAGTTGATTAGGACCTTTGTCTGAATAGGGTATTCCTTCTTCACCTTTTGAAGTAAGCTTTTAGAGAAAAAGCCACCATAAGTACTAGAGATTATATAAACCAACCTAAATAAAATCAAAGGTGAATATAATTTATAAGCAAGGTTTTTTTTTTTTAATCTTTTCTTTAACAAAGACAGCCTATTTATTCTTTTTCTGTTCCCAGTATTTTAATCCATTTTATGTTATTTACTCTTGTGGATTTCTTTGAGGTTTTTTGTTTTCAAATGCCAGCCTCTTTGTTATTGCTGTTACGATTTTTGTTGTAGCACAAAATTCACCATCAATTGTCCTTTGCAAGCAGGGCTTTAAGAGAAAGAACAACAAGACCTAGCCCACGCCCCTTCTGAGCCATTTGGATTTTTTGTTCTTTATTTTGTTTTTAGTTTGTTTTTGTGGGGATGTAATTTTTTTTTAAATATTTTACTTATTTATTTGACAGAGAGAGAGAGTACAAGCAGGGGGAGCAGCAGTGGGAGAGGAAGAAGCAGTCTCCCCACTGAGCAGGGAGCCCGATGCGGGGCTCGATCCCAGGACGCTGGGATCATGACCTGAGCTGAAGGCAGGCGCTTAACCGACTGAGCCACCCAGGCACCCCTGGGGACGTAATATTTTTAACTGATAATAATGGTGAGGATGATAACCTTTTAGAGAGTATCTTGACTTTTTTTCCCCATTTCTTAGAATATGAAATGCTGTGTTGGACATGTTCCTTTGAGAAACACTTCTTGAGATGGAGAGGCTGAGGGGAGCACCAGGTTGCTAACTGGAGATTAGTGTTTTAATCCCAGCTTTCCTTATTGAGAACTTGATCTTTAACCTGCTCTTGGACAAGATGTCTCCATTTTTAAACTCTAGTTTCCTTATCTTTAAAAAGGAAGATGTGTTCGTTATCTCAAAGCTTTCTCTTAGATATAAATGTCTCTAAAATTAATTAAAAGAAGCTTTATAGTTTTTGTGACTGAGGGCATCCTAGAAGTCAGCTAGCCTGATCTGCGGTTTCACAGGCAAGCAAAGTGAGACCTGAGAGATGAAATGACATGGAGGAGGCATAAGTTTGTAGCATGATCATGGGTTTACTGGCTTTTATTTTATATTGGGAGATAAGTTATGTTGACATTGAAAATATTTAGTGTAAGAATGTGATTTTAGTAGGTTTAGGGAAGCATTAAGCTTGATTAATGCCTATAGGTAGTACCTGAGCTGTGCTGAAATGTGAATGAAATGATCATATAAAAATATCCTAAGACTCCAATTCATTAACAGAACATGCAAATTTTAGCAATGATTTGCACATGTAGGGTTTAAACAAAAACTCATCTTTTAATAGCCTTGAATAAGGTTAGAATTGTTTTCCTTTTATAAGATTTGCTGACTCACAAAATTGAGGGATGTGATTGTGTTTTACTTGTTAATTTATGAAATGTCAAAAATAATTTGCAGGAAAAAAAGTCACTTGCGGGAGATACAAAATTCTGCTAGAAATAGAATCCATATAAAGTTACATGGAATGCTCAAGTAATCATAACTTTATCAAAATCTGAATAGAAAAGCTATGTGATATCTGAGTGATAGGAAAAACACCCATAAAAGCTAGCCAAAATTTCATTACTTCTTAAATATTTTTTTATTAAGTAAACTACACCCAATGTGGGACTCAGACTCACAACCCTGAGATCAAGAGTTGCATGCTCTACCGACTGAGCCAGCCAGGTGCCCCAAAATGATATTACTTTAATTAATATTTAGCTTTTGAAAGGATGGAAGACTACTTCAACTTCCCACTGTCTGTAGGAATTTGTCAACTATGTAATTTGAAGAATCAGTTTTAAAAATATATGTATAGTTAATTACGTATGGAGGGATTGTTTTTCTCCATTTCTACTAAACTCTTTTGACATTTATACTTAAAACACACTTCCTTCTCTTCATGGGAAATTATAAAAATCGTTATTAACATAAGAGAAAGTGACCAAAGATAAACCTCTGGGAAAAAAGATGAAAAATAACTTGGAGCAAAAGAAATGTACAAACATTAAGTTATTTTTTAACTCAGTACCTAGAACCTCTGACGGATTTGTATTTCTTCTGTTCATTAGGCAAGCCATCAGGAGCCTGCATTGACGCCCTGGCTCTGAAGCTACTTGGCTTTGTTCTCTCAGACCCGTTAGTCACCTCCCTGGATCACAGGTCCCCATGTTATTTAACTTATTTTTTATTTCTTTAATAATCTGTTTTAATTTTTATGGAAGTGTAATTGATGTATAGTGTTATTATTTTCAGGTGGGTAACAGTGATTTGACAGTTCTATATGTTATGCAAGAAAGGGGCTTTATTCGATTGTTTCTCAACTCCTTCTAGGCTCTAAATTATATGACTTACCTTAGTTCTAAGACTGCACCAGAGAAATAAACCCAAGGACAAAACAAGATATTGAACACTGGTAATATTTCTAGATAAAGTCAGTCTCTGAAAAACGGGAAGATGGAACTAACTGGCAGAAAATTATGTACTTCAGATTGTATATTTGGAAGCTAAATTCAAGAGACATGCCACAGGCTTCCAACATTTGTTATGGATAGTCAAAGATGAACTCTCTAGCAAAGACAGGACATAGAAGGTGCTCAGTAAATATGAAATAAACAGCATTGAGTGTCTACCCTCCAGTGGCTACAGAATATATCTAAATGCTGAAAGGGAAAGCAGGTGGCCTCAGAGATTGGTCCGTATGTCTATTCAGTCACAGCTCCTCTTTCTTTAAGTTCTAGGAATGCACAACTGCTTATTGGTTGGTGGCATGCACACCCCATGCAGTTCTGCTGTGCAAGAATGTGTTCATTGCTTTCTCTCTGTCTGGAATAATTACCAGCAGCCACCCACATGGTCCCCCTCCACTGCCCCCACTCTTACCCTTCACCTGGCCAACCTCTGCTGATGCTTAGAAACTCTGCCCAGAGGCCACGTAGGAAGCCGGCTTGGGGTCTTCCCCTCTCTTTTCCTCGAGCCCTGGGCACCTTCCTCATGGTACTCATTCCATATCACAGGCAAACCTGCCACTCCCTGACTTCGGAGTCTCCTTTTCAGTTATACACAAATAGCCCACAAAGTCTGTAGCATGTAGTGATAATGTTTTTGCTGAAGTTTAATTTTAAATAATTATTCTTTACGTCATCAAAAGTAAGAAACCATCGTTCACAAGACCTTTTTACCATTTTATGTTCTGTGAAGAAAGAAAAGGGACTGCCAGACAGTTAACAAGGGTATCAATTGCAGGACACATCCCAGCTTCAGGAATGTTGGGGTGTGAACAAGTTTGCACTTGTTCAGTGATGTGTGGTGCCATGAAGTTGGTGTTTGGGAATGAGTGATTTTACTCTGGGATGATTCAAATGTACGATTCAAATGTACCACTTTGTACCCACATCACTTGAAAAGTGTGTTTCTTATGGGGAAAAAATGGCCCACTTCCCAAAGAAAGCTAAATGCTGCTCTGCACAGCAGTGCCGAAGAGCTCTAAGATAGTGACAATTTTTAGTTGGAAAATGGGAATTTTGAGTAAGTTAGAAAAATGACAAATTTGGCAGTGGCTCAAATCTGCAATTCAAGAAAATCCACCATATGTTCAGTGCAGATACAGGGAAAAGGGATTCTGGACTCAGTCTCAGCTAGTACTCCATCTAATAGAAAAGCTGCTCACCGGTGGAAGAGAAAATCTGCTAAATTGGAAAGGTAATTAATTTGAGACCTAAAACTGCACAAGATACACAATGGACTTGGAAAATGTGATTCAAGAGAAAGTTTATTGAAATATTTTTGTGGATTGAGAGTAAATGTAACTATCTTACCTTTACTCTGAGTAAGGGTTGGCTCAAGAATTTTAAATTCTTTGCATAATTCAAATGTAATTGAAGGTGCCATCAGCTAACTCCATAAGCTCATAGAAAAGGGTTCTGGGCCAGAACAAATGTTCAGTGAGGCTGAAGCCAGCCTATGTGGAATGAAAATACTTCCCCGTGTTGTATTTCCAAGGAGGAGAATCTAGTATCAGGGTTTAAGGCATCTGAGGACATACCAACTCCTCTTCTTTGCAGCAATGCATAAAACTTTGTTTAAACCAGGCTTGCTTTAGCACTCTAGGAACCTTGGAGTATTTACGAAAAAATTTTGGCTTATATATTAACCATCCAGTGTGTTCCAAATGGCTTTTTCAATGGTTATAGGAAATAAAAAATGAGTTGTAGTCTGTCCACATGGGTGAATAAAATTGAAGATACACCACAGCAAGCTGTAAGAAAAGCAAAGAAGAAAAATAAGCATAATTATTTCACAGAACCCCAGTACAAACACTGAACAAAGTACCCCTCATGCCTATTCCCTCAGCTCTCCCCACAAGGCAGAATGGCCTATCAGCCACATAGGTGTGGCTGAGAACAGCTGTGCTCTTACTGCCTGGCCTTGGTGCCTGAGGTGGGTGTACTGCGTCCCCTTCAGGGTGCAGCCTGGCAAAGCCTAGGAAGATTAAGTTGGTAGTACCTCTTTCCCCTTTAGCACTTGTCTTAGATACAGAGGCCACTCCTTACTAACCCATCCCCTCACCCTCAGGATTGTTACATCAAAATTAGGAATCGTGTGTGTGTGTGTGTGTGTGTTTAATAAGTTCTGTGCCCAATGTGGGACTTGGACTCATGACCCCAAGATCAAGAGGTAACATGCTACACTCAGTGAGCCAGCCAGACACTCTAGAACTTGCTTTCTATTGATCTGTTAACTAACTCTTGGGACACTACTTCTTTGAGAAGGTCTTAATTCTTACTGGCTAATCTGCTTTGTCTCCCTTGGAGAGACAATTTAGTGAAACAGACATTCATGTGGTCAAGTCATGCTGAATTTAACAGTTTTGGTGCCTTTTTTTTTTCTTTCATGGCACTCATGTCATGGCAAGTCTATAAGCAGCTTGGTGCTTGTTCTTTGCTTATCTCCCAAAGTATTGTGGCCACAAAACAGAACTTTAGGAAGTCTTCTCTGAGCTATTAAAATGCTCAAGACATGATAGCATTCATTTTGGGCTTCTTTCATAAGTGTCTTGTGGCAGAAATGGAGATAAAGCCTCCTTTGCAGAATCACGAATTGAAGTATTAGCTAATTATAGACTTTATTGTATTTTATAGGGGAAATGACTTTTCTAACAGCAGATTTTACAAATTTGGGGATTCACAGAGATCTTTTTATATGTCCCTTGCAAATATCAACAGTCTCTTGGATCCGAAAATTATGTTTATATGTCTGTCTTCCCTGCTTAACCTGCATTGTCCATTACTGTAGCCACTAACCACACATGGCCATTAAGCACTTAATGTGGCTAGTCTCAATTGAGATGTACTGTAAGCATAAAATACACACCAGATTTTAGACTTAGTGCAAAAATATGAATGGAAAATAAATCAGTAACTTTTTTATTACATGTTGAAATAATATCTTAGATATATTGGGTTAAATAAAATATATTGTTTTAAAATTTTTTTACTATTTTTTACTTTTTTAGCGTTGCTATTTAGTCATTTAAAATTACATATGTAGCTTATAGTGTATTTCTGTTGGACAGAGCTGATTTAGACTATAAGTTACTTGGGGCTAGACAGTGCCTAGTGCATATTAACTAGATGCTCAGTGCATGCTCAGTGCAACCAAACTGATGAACTGAAATGAGTGAATAGATGAGACTTATAATTTTTTTTTTAAAGTAGTGATTTTGACACTGTGAATTTAGAAAGTGGTAGAGCAAGAGAAGATGAATTTTGTGAAGAAATCTTAAAATGTTTGTCAGTTGTTCCTGGTGTATGGAGCTGGAGATGTGAGTCCTAGTCAGGAGATGCCTTCTCCTGTAGTCCTAATAACTGCAGCTGCCTTCTCACGAAATATGCAGCTATGCCCTATAGAGTTGACCTGATTTTGCCACCAGTGATTCCTTTACTATAGTTCCATATTATAATCCAGCAGTTTGTTTAAGATCCATTTCCAGAAAGGATTTTTCCTAGATGCCATATAGCTGTGGTATTCTAACTTAATGTGCTTCAGAAGCATTTGCAAAGCCTATTACAAATGCAGATTACCAGACACCCATGCTCAGAGATTTTCGATCATTAGGTAAAGGAATGGGGCCCAGGAATCTGCCTGTTGACATCCCAGAAGATTCTAGTGTAAGTGACCTCTAAACAATACCTTGAGGAACATTGGCATCATAATCTAGAAATAGCTTAGAAGTCCAGGTAGAAAGGGCAGTTTGCTCAGTGATTTTTATTATCTATTATTACATTACAAAGAACTTAAATTGTTAAATACTTTAATAATAAAAAATTAATCAAAAAGTTGCAGCAAAGGAAACAACAGTGAAAAAGCAAACTACTGAATGGGAGAAAGTATCTGCATACCGTAGATAAAGGGTTAATATCCAGAATATATAAAGGATTCCTACCTACAATGCAATAACAAAAAAAATTGCCCAATTGAAAAATAGGCAAAGGACTTGAATAGACATTTCTCCAAAGAAGATATGGATAGTAAGCATGTGAAAAGATGTTCAACATCACTAGTGATCAGGGAAATGGAAATGAAAACCACAATGAGATATCACTTCATATCCATTAGGATGGCTGCTATCAAAAAAAAAAAGAAGAAGGAATAAAAGGAAAGTAACAAGTGTTGGGGAGAATGTGGAAAAAAATGAAACCCTTGGAACACTGTTGGTAGGATTTTAAAATGGTGCAGTCACTCTGGAAAAAAGTATGGAGGTTCCTCAAAAAATCAAAAATAGAACTACCCTATGATCTAGCAATCCTACTTCTGGTATATACATAATAAAAGCCCTGGATCTCAAAAGATATTTGTACACCCATGTTCATTGCAACATTATTCATAGCCAGGATGTGGAAGCATGCTAAATGTCCATCAGTGGATGGATGGATAAAGAAAATACGGTTTATATATAAGATGGAATATTATTCCACCTTTAAAAAGAAGGAAAACCTGTCATAGGTTACAGAACTTTGACAATATCATGCTTAGTAAAATAAACCAATCACAATAAAGACAAATACTGTATAATTCCACTTATATGAAGTATCTAAGATAGTCGAACTCATAGGAAGAATGATGGTTGCCAGTGGTTTGGGGATGGAGGAAATGAGTCGTTCGATGGATACAGAGTTTCAGCAATGCAAGATGAAAAAGTTCTGGAGATCTGTTATATAACAATGCGTGTATAGTTAACAATACTGTACTGTACACTTAAAAATTATTAAAGGATACACTTACATGGTTTTTACCACAATTAAAAATTATTCAAAAAGTATCAACTATCCTAATAGGTTGTGGTGAAATTGGACTCAAGGAAAGAGTATAATTTGTTTCCTTGAACAGTATCTTTTCATGAGAAATTTTTTCGGAAGCTTTGAGGTAAATCAAGTAAACGTGTACTTGCAGGGAAGCTGTGTGGGTGTTGAGAGGACTAGAAGTTGGTGGCCTCTGTGATTTACTGAGAAGAGGACAGGGTTTACTCATCATGAATGTCAGTCCCAAAGCAGGCTTGTCCACAAGCTTGGAAGCCCTCCAGGAGGCAGAGAGATGCTGATGACTGGATGTGGTCATTTCAGAGGCAATCCGGACACTCCCGAGAAAATGTCGTCCTTCTTCCCTCCTGTCCCCACACTTGAGACCTGGAATTTTAGCACTTTCATTTAGTTCCCTTAAAACAATTTTAAAAAGCTTTTTAACATTTTAAAAATGGTAAAAATAAACCCTTAAGAAATTTTTAGTCATTTTAGGGGTACTGATTGCCAGGACCCTTTCTTGTGTAGAGGAAGAACAACTGGATTGGTTTTGTGGAGTACCCAGAAACATTCACTCTGGCAGCCAGCTTTCTGTGTCTGAGGCCATTCCTTTAAGTAGCAAGCTCTCCAGTCTTTCCAGAAACTGGTAGGCAAGTATGTTTGGGTTGGTTTGCTCTACCCGTGAGGTTGGCTGGCTTTCCTGAGAGGGCAAAGGGAGTGAAAGACAATGGCCTAAAGTTACTCCCATATTTGCCGATGAGGTGAAAATACAATGCTAGGCTGGTAAAAACTGAAATAATCACATTTTCCTCCTTTTAGCCCTTCCTAGTATCTCGTTTTAGCCTTTTGTCTTGTGTGTGTGTGTGTGTGTGTTTTGTTTTCAGTGTGCTGGCTCATTGGCTCATGTTTTAGAAATATTGATTGTGAAATATTTATTTTGTTTTCTTTTCTGGCTAACTAAGGACTTTATTTCAAACAAAAGTTAAAAATAAAAAAATTGAGAGCTATTTTCCTGGGTGTGGGGAAGAGATCAGGGCAAGGAGTTTACCTGTGGCTAGGCCAATACCCTCATACTAAACGGGTTGTGGTAATTCCCCAATGTCCCTCCTGGTCACTGATGGGGAACCTCAGCTAGTGCAGCTCTCTGTGCCAGAGCCCACCTACCAAGGGCAGCTTGGGCTAAGGGGCAGTCCCTGGGAGGGGCCCAGGCAGCAGCATGGCCAAAGGCCAACCACAGGATCAAGTCTTAATCACTGAGAACCCACTTTTCTCCCCTTCCTGAGACCCAGAACAGATTAAGAAGCACCAGCAGTCTGTACCCCCATGGCTGCCCCGCCCACCACTGCCAACTCTACAATTAACAATGATCCTTTGTATTTCTTGCCTTCCATTTCCCTTGGGTGGATGGTTGTTTGGGTGGGGTTTCCTGGTTTGGGGTTTCTTGTGCTAATCTCTATATTGTTTCAATTTTAGTATATATGCTGCCAAAGTGAGCACGTTTATAAAATATTTCAAATCTATAAAGAGGCAGACAGATGCAGTCTACTCACCACCAAGCTTAACAAAGAGAACATTATGAGTACAGTTGAAGCCCCTGTGTGAATATCCCCCAGCCCTCTTCTGCAGTAGTAACTGCTATCTGGAATTTAGTGTTTATCATTCCTAGGCAATTTTTATACCTTTATGATATGATAGGTGTATGTTTCAGCAATATATAGCATTGTTTTACATTTTGTGGTCTCATATTTTATGTAGTCTTCTGCAACCTGCTTTTCTCAATCTGCCTGTTTGCTTCTTACACTTCATTTGGAATATTTCTTCCAGTGTTACATTATTCTCAACACCAGTGTACAGTGTTACTGTGTAATAGTGTTTGGCTCCTAAAATACAATTAGAAATGGCTCAGATTGAAAAATTTTATATGTGTCAAATTAACATATAATATAGTGTGTTAACTGTTAAACATATTTGTTTTATTTCAGGTTATAATATAACTTATCCTCTCATGCTTTTTCCCTGCCCCTTCTCCCCAAATCATCAACAGTAGAGAAAGAAGAAGAAGAAAACATGTCAGGACACAAATGGTAAGTAATGTGTTGTCTTTTCTAAAGAGGGAGAGGCTAATGAAAGAGGAAGGTACATAGTATATGCTCAATAAATGTCGAATAGAAAAATCAAGAGTCACATTGGCAGTAAATAATCTGTTAGCCCCTATCCAATATGAGATATAGTTAAGTTCAACATCCCTTCTGAGTGAAATATGGAAACCAAATAATCAAACATATTATAAGTCCTTATGTAATATATATTCTCTAAGAAACTAATTTATATACAGCTTTTCTCCTGAAAATCTAATGGCTTTTCTTAGCACCAGTTTTTCAAATGTAATAAGCCAATATATATATATTTTTAACGCTATTTTATTTACAACTTATTAGTGTTATCAGGGAACTTGCTCTACAGCAGCTATAAAATGAGTGAACGCAAACTCAGACTCATTAATTTATAGCTGTGACTTTAACCTTCATGAACACTCAGGAGGCAATCATGGTCGGAAGATGCTGCTGCTGAATAAAATGTGGTAATCATGGCAGTGTTCAGCACTGTCATTTACATGCCTGTAGCACATCTCAGCAGCATGTTAAACTTCTTTTAAATTCCGGGTCTGCCTCACACAGTGTTTCTGAACCCTTTGAACCCATGACCCACCAGGCAAGCAGATCTTTGTCATGTTTCATCTCTAATTCGTAGCATGAAAAAATGTGATGTATATTTTCATGTTTCAAATGTACAATTAATTATAATAAGGAATATACTTGCTAATCCCTCCTCTCTCAGTAAAGAAGTAATCAGACCCAAGACCTCTGTAATATCAAATGTCAACCTGTAAGAGAATTTTTGCATATCTTAAAATATAATGAATTTTAAAAGGTAATTAATAAATGGCTGAGGGATTTAGTTTCCCTGAGTATCCCCATTTGACAGCCATCTAACTAAGAGTTGTCAGACTCTTCTCGTAATTATTCCATCTTGCCTCATTAAGACAAAGGGGTGACTCCATCCTGTGAGCTTCATAATGGCTGTCACACCCTGGTAGCAGGCCACGGAAGTAGGTACTCACCCATCTAAGAGAGCCGGGAGAGCCCTGAGAAGTGGGCCCTTCCCCAAAGTCTGTCTCTCACTCTGCCACTTCACTGCTTGCTGCTGAAATGCAGGGGCTGTAGAGAACATGGAAATGAGCACTGGACTGGGGTTAAGTGGCCTGGATTTTAATTCTGTGTGACTTTGGGCAGAATTCTTAAGCTTTTGAAACCTAAGATACCTCATTTGTTAAATGACAAAGGTGAGGGGTATTCACCAGATCTCTGAAGTCCCTTTGTTTTTTGTTTTTGGGTTTTTTTTCCAAAATGGAATTTTTTTTCTGTTCATCCATGACCTTTCACCAAAAATAAGTAAATAAATTAAAAATACAATACAAAGAAGTCCACCCTATTCCCCATTTCTAAAAATTCTATTTCCTTGAAATAACCAGTTTTGGAGGGTATATCCTTCCAGTCTTTTTATACACATATTATGTAGAGAGACTCTATCTTTTACATAAAAGTTATGTTTTTTCCACTTATTTTCCCTCAGTGAGCTCATAGTAAAACTTTTTTTTTTTAATTAAAGTATAGTGGACACACAATGTTACGTTAGTTTCAGGTGTACAGCATAGTGATTTGACAAGTCTATACACATAAAAAAAAACTTTTAGGGGCACCTGGGTGGCTCAGTCGTTAAGCGTCTGCCTTCAGCTCGGGTCATGATCCCAGGGTCCTGGGATCGAGCCCCGCATCGGGCTCCCTGCTCCGCGGGAAGCCTGCTTCTCCCTCTCCCACTCCCGCTGCTTGTGTTCCCTCTCTCGCTGTCAAATAAATAAAATCTTTAAAAAAAAAAAAAAACTTTTAAATAATGCAGAAATTATGAAAGTCCCCCAAATCCTACTTCTCTAATGATAGCCTTTGTAAAGAAGTTATTTGAAACCCCTTCTGACTTTTTAAGAATAAATGTCGGGGGGGGGCGCCTGGGTGGCTCAGTCATTAAGCATCTGCCTTCGGCTCAGGTCATGATCCCGGGATCCTGGGATCGAGCCCCGCATCAGGCTCCCTGATCAGTGGGGAGCCTGCTTCTCCCTCTCCCACTCCCCCTGCTTGTGTTCCCTCTCTTGCTGTGTCTGTCAAATAAATAAATAAAATCTTAAAAAAAAAAAAAAGGAATAAATGTCTGGTTTGAAAATTGTAAATGTTATCTGGAAGGAGAGTATAAATCATCAAGTTTCAAGGAACAGGTATTTTTAAATAGTGGTATAAAGCAACTTGTGTTTTAGGACTCAGGTCTGGCACATTTTGAGTGGTGATAGCGTGGAGTGAAAGAAGGCACATGTCTGCAGAGAGGAGAAACCAGGGGTCCTGTGTGGACATATGAAACAGGAACTCTAAGGGCACCTGGGTGGCTCAGTGGGTTAAGTGTCTGCCTTCGGCTCAGGTCATGATCTCAGGGTCTGGGGATCAAGTCCCACATTGGGCTCCCTGCTCAGCGGGGAGTCTGCTTCTCCCTCTCCCTCTGTTCCTCCCTCCCTCCTGCTTTTGTGCTCGCTCTCTCTCTCAAATAAAACCTTAAAAAAAAAACAAAAAAAACAGGGACTCTAGACCAGAGGAGGGCGTAGACAACATGGGGAGGGGTGGAGCACTAATGGCAACATTTCTGTCAATATCTGAGGTGTTGTGGTCTTTTACAGAAATTCTATTTCATTCTCAATTTTTTTCTAATTTCTTTCTTACATACTTTTTTTAAAAAAAGATGTTATTTATTTATTTGAGAGAAAGAAAGCATGCACAGGGGCAGAGGCAGAGGGAGAGAGAGAGAGGGAGAAGCAGACTCCCCGATGAGCTGGGAGCCGGATGCGGGACTCGATCCCAGGACCCTGGGATCATGACCTGAGCTGAAGGCAGACGCTTAATGACTGAGCCACCCAGGCACCCCAAGAATTTAAGGTTTTAATATCAGAAATCATTAACAGATTTTTCAAAAAAACATTTTGTTAAATTTCATTTGACTGTGGTTAAGACTATTTAACATGAGATTTGCATTTTAACAGATTTTTAAGTGTATACTACGGTATTATTAACTACAGGTGCAGTGTCGTACAGCAGATCTCTAGAATTTACTCACTGTGCATCATTGAGACCTTACACCCCTTCATTAAGAGTTTCCCATTTCCCTCTCACCCCATCCAGCCTCTGGTAACCACTATTCTACTCTCTGGATTCTGAGTTTGACTGTTTTAGGTACCTCTAGGACAGATTTTAAACGTGCTATTTTTCACCGCCTTATCTCTACTTTTCTGCTGTCACTTCAGTGTTGGCCATAACACTGGAGTGGAGAGAACGTAGGTGTCCAGCTTTTTCGCTGACTCACTGGGCTTCTTGAGCCAGACACCCTGCCTGCTTAGGCCTCACTTTCTCTACTTGGAAAAGGAGTATGTCCAACATGCTGAGAGCTAAACTCTTCAAGGTTTGGTTTCTTGATTTCCTGCAAAAGCTTCTTGATTTCCTCACTAACTTTTAAGGTTTCAGAGTATATTAGAGTTGGTTAATTTTTTTGGTGTAATAATCACACAAGAAAGTATGTTTATGGCGGCGCCTAGGTGGCTCAGTCGTTAAGCGTTTGCCTTCAGCTCAGATCATGATCCTAGAGTCCTGGCATCGAGCCCCACACCAGGCTCCCTGCTCAGGAGGGAATCTGTTTCTCCCTCTGCTGCTTGCCCCTGCTCATACTCTCTCTCTCAGTCAAATGAATAAATAAATCTTAAAAAAAAAAAAAAGTATGTTTATGAATGTTGTGTAATATGATATTTAGATAAATTTGTCAACACTAAAATAGCTTCATTTTTATGAAAGTCATGAATAAAATACTTCTTTAAATGTGTTTTTTAGCAGTTATCCCTGGGACTTACAGGATCGATATACTCAAGATAAGTCAGTAGTAAATAAGATGCAGCAGAAGTATTGGGAAACGAAGCAGGCCTTTATTAAAGCCACAGGGAAGAAGGAAGATGAGCATGTCGTTGCCTCTGATGCAGACCTGGATGCCAAGCTGGAGGTGAGCTGTTCTTATTCTCAGTCCCAGCACAGCCCCCTCACTAGGGTCACAGTCCTAGAGTGTACAGACTTGGACAAGCTTAGTTGTGCTTTATATTTGAAAACATGCTGCAAACAACTAGTTCATGAGGAAAAAAATCTAAGATGAGGTAAATTCAATCCGAGCATGGTTTTTAAAAACCTACAAATTCTCGTGTAACTACCAGCATGCCTCAGTTAATTTGTTTTTCAAGCACCTTAATGCATTGCATGTGGTAAAATCAATAAATGTTTGTTGTTTGTTGAAAAAAATTAATGCAACCAAAGAGCCACTGCACATGATATCAACACTAGGGTCAGGCTAATGCTTACATTTTAAAAAAAGAGGAAAGGACGACAACAAAAGATCCTGGAAATTAGAGTCTCATAAACTTGGTATTGAACCCTGAAAAATTCTAGAATGAATTAACTGAGCAGATATTTAGTTAGACTAGTTAATAATACAGTAAGCTGAATTCCTATCTGGTTGATTCCCAAATACTAACATAACTGGTAGAAGGCCCACTAATCCCCTGTCTTGCAGGACATTCTGCCAGTACTTTAGATTAAAATTTAAAAAGCATACTCATCACTTCCATGAGAAATACTGTTACATGACCTGATAAGAATTCAAAATGATCTCTAAATTTAACATATCAGATAAAGTTAATGAGCTTGAACACATGATTACAGTAAAAAGCTCAGGGTTTCAAAAAAACTTTCTGAGAAGGGTGCCCAGGATGGTAGAAACCATGGTTATACTGGAACAGAGAGGTTTAAGGGAGCTATATTCGCTGTTGATTGCATAGAAAGGCCTGTCATTTGGATGAAGGATAATTCATCCTATGCATCTGGAGGGAGAACCAGACCCAGGGTCCCTATTCATAGTATGTACATCTCATGTGTTTATGTGTTTATCTGCCCTCCCTCCACTAAGAGATCCATATCAGCCTTATTCACCATAATACCATCAGCAGACACACAGTACCCATTCAGTAAATAGTAACTGAATCAGTGTACATGTTAATGCAATTAATGTTCATTCCCAACCCTTTCCCCTGCCAATGGAATTGTTCAAATTGAAACTGGGTTTCATAGAGATGTTCTAATGGAGATGGCTACAGGGAGAAACGTGGCACCAGGAGGCATCGGTTCTGATTTTAGTGTTCTTTATACAGTTGAAATGATTATACGTCGCATATGCTTTTCATGTCTCGTACCTTTATTTTTTTTCAACAATGTAGCAAATACAGGCATTATTCAGAAAGGAATTTAACATGTAACTATTACTTCATTACACACAATACAGTAATTTTATATTTATGCTTAGACTCTTGCAGCATTTTTACTGAGCCAACTGTACTTTAATCAAAATAGCCGCTGTCCTAGGCACATAATATCTAAAGTAATTAGCTGTGACTGGTAATGTTACATGGATGAGGTTTCTGTTGCAGAAATGTTTAAACTTGTGTTGATGCTTATGAAGAGCATGGATTTCATCCATAAAACATGTAAAAGACGTGCAAAGCATTTTGATGTGTTCTTACCCTAAGTTATCCACAAAAGGCTAGCTTATGAAACAAGAGCTTTTGTTTTGCTAGCACAGGGCAAGTTTCTGTGCCAAGTTATAATGACGGTCAGATTCTACTATAATCTGTTGGGAAGTTAATATAGAAACGTTGCACTAAGTTTAACTATGTGTCAAAATTGGTTGTTAATAAAATCGTTTTCTCAAAAACAGCTCTTAAGTACAAGAACAGACAAAGCTAACCTGTGATGACAGGCAGGTCTTTTAGGAGGGGCCATAGCAGAGTCGCCGGTCAGTGGTTTCTTAGTTCGGGTGTGGTTGCAAGAGTGTATGCAGTTACAGACCTGTAGAACAGAACATTCCAGAGGTGTGCATTTTATTGCCTTTCATTTACACCTCAGTTTTTTAAAAATGAACAGTGACAACAGAACAGCTCCTGAGCATACTTTTTGAACTCCCTTGATCCTATATTCAGGAATTGCTATGTGTTGGTGGTTTGTGACCCATAATCCTGATGTCAAGCATTTGTTAAGGAAGAAATTCAGACTGCTGATTTTCTGTTTCTGTTCTGTTTTTTTTCTTTCTCTTTTCTAAACAGGTAGAAAATACAGAGTAATGAAATGAGATTTAGCAAAATTTATATTCTTCATGACCAAATTTTATTGTATTAAGCATTTCTGGGAATGGTTTTTAATATTTCAAGTATATATGCATACATCTATTTTTATTAGATAATTGGTCATATTTATTATGAAACAGATCATCTGTTTTAACTCAAATAGTGAAGTGCTTCATCACCATGGCCAATAAGCTAAAAGAGAGAGAGAGGGAAAGCCTTACTCTGCCTCATTAGGTGGCTCTTCAGAGGCAGAAGGTTTGCCAGGTTTTCTAACTGCTACCAGCTGTGGTCTCTGGGCTGGTGGACAGAAGGTGGAGAAAGTGTGAAATGTCTGATCTTCTCTTGAGCTTGTCTGGGTTTTTGAAGCAAAGTTAAAATCTAGTTCGATTCTTCTCAGTATAGCCCACCTTCTTTTCCCGTACTTTCTTCTGTTACAGCCTTGGCATTGTATTAGGTTTCTTCTCTGTATATCTTATGAAATCAATGGGAAAATAAGGAGTGATAAGGGCTGCTAGCTAAACTCCATTTTACCAGATGTCTTCTAAATGGAACATTCAAATGATTGATTTTTGTTTGCTCTTTATAGAATTGTTTAAGCATGCCATAAAATGGATTACAATCACAAAATAAGCGAATGTCGTGTTTTAAATATGATTCTTAATTGAGGGATCTTACATTTAAAAAAAAGACAGCAAATGGTAAAAGAAATAAATTATGAATGAATATTGGGTCTCTGGTTTACCAAATCTTCTAATTGGGCCCTTCATTTAGGATTTCTGTTTTTCAGTTCTTATTTCAATAATCTGGAGGAAATCAGTGTTCTGCACATCTTAATTTAGATCACAGAAATGATGAATTCCAATAAATATAGATAAATAGGAGCATACTTAAAGACTTTGGTCACAGTTCCTGCACTGAACACCACATAACACCAAGCATACTTAGGCTTGTGATCTTGTTGTTAGTGGGCAAATAAAACACTGTGGTTATGTTCTGATAATAATTTTTTATTTCACTATCTGTTATAATTTAGCATTTTGTTTGTATTTTTATTATAGCTGTTTCATTCAATTCAGAGAACCTGTTTGGACTTGTCTAAAGCAATCGTACTCTATCAAAAGAGAATATGTTGTAAGTATGCCCTAAGTATGAATATTGATCAGATAAACAGTAAGAAATAGGATATTTTGCTTTAATATATCATTTCATATGTTTAGAAAGTAAGACAAGGAAATTACTATTTAGGAGTGTCTGTCTTTGCTCTCTTTTTTAAAGATTTTATTTATTTATTTGACAGAGAGAGGGAACACAAGCAGGGGAAGTGGGAAGGGGAGAAGCAGGCTTCCCACTGAGTAGGGAGTCTGATGGGGGGCTCAATCCCAGGACCCTGAGATCATGACCTGAGCTGAAGGCAGACGCTTAATGACTGAGCCACCCAGGCGCCCCTGTCTTTGCTATTTAATTGGTGGGGAGGAGGGTCTCTAATAATTTTATCAGAAATCCTTTACATAGGTTGTTTATCATTCAATGCAAGTAACTGTAAAAAGAACTTTATATTGGGCCTCCTGTGGGTAAGTACAGACCATTTATTTTCCTAATTATAAAAAAGTTTTCTCAGTTTTATATGTGGGTTTTCTAAAATTTTGGGTTGTTTTTATTTGATTGCCTTGGCTCTCATATCCAGTTTTGTTCCTCTTAAAATGGAGAGAGAAAGCACAAACAGGTAATTTATTAACTGTATTTTGTTGACAGCACTTCTTCATGAGCCATTTTTTAAGTTGGATATTGGGTTATTGGGGAACAAGATTCTGCCTAAAAGTTATTACCAACAGTTATCTCTAAAATGCTAAATATCAAGTTGTGTGTTAGTATGTTTTAAAATTTCCTTTTGTAGGTGATTTAATAGTATAATTTCTGTATTTCTGAGCAGGAATATAGGAAATTTTTTTGTTTCTGACTGCTGCTACACCTCTTTCCAATAATCACAAAGTAACAATTTGTAATTTTCCTTCATTAGTCTTTTTTAAGACTATTGTGGGGAAGTACAAAGTGCTAGGACTTAGAGGCAGAATTTCATAAATTTTCTACGTTACTGTTTACTAAGTGTTTGAGATAAGACTTCTCCAGGGCTATAACTCCATAGTCGTGAGTTCTGAGGAAATCAAGACACATGACACATACCCCCACCATTTCTCTGTCCCACATCTAGTTAGTCTTAAATGGTAGTCCGTTTTGTCTCCTGAACAGGTTTCAGAGTCTTCCTCTCTCCCTCTCTACTGTCACCACCTTAGTTCATGCCACTACCATCACTCTCTTACTTGATTTGCTATATCAGCTTCCTGAATGATCTCCCTGCACCCTGCCCTCCCACCCCCAGCCCGCTGTCTACACCACAAAGAGCTCCCAGTGATCTAAGCTAGGACAATTTGAAAAACAAAATAAATAACAATAGTATTGGATTATAACCCATGAAGTAAAGTAAATATCCATTAAGTCAGTGTGGAAATAGACAAACAGGGAAGAAGAAACTTATAAAATAACTCTGGTTAATAAATATAGAAAGAATGAGGGAACCATAAAATCTCCATTAGGCAAATACCACAGTAAGAATTGTAGCAGGCAAGGTTCACTGCAAGATGGCACAATCAGTGAACGAAAGTTTGAGGAGAAACTGGGTATTTGCATAGCATCATGTATTTCCCTCCAAGATTTTAAATAATTACGAAAGGAGGAAATCATAATTTTACCGTGGAGTAACTCAGTAGACACCACCTGAATTAAGTGATCGAGATTGACATCACTAGTGATAATGTGTGTTGGTATCATGTGGTCCTGATATCATCACTTAAGAAGGCCACTTCACCTCTGTGGTTTCCCTCCCCAAAATCTGTCACCCCAGTCTAATTGTGAGAAATAAGACAAACCCAAATTGAGGAACATTCTGCACAATACCTAACCAGTACTCTTAAAGGGCACAAAGGTCATGAAAGACAGGACAGGCTGAGAAACTGTCACAGATCGAAGGAGACTAAGGAATCCTGACAACGTCGGATCCTGCATTCGATCTTAGAAGAAAAGGGACATTAATGAGAAAACTGATAAAATTCAAATAAGGTTATGGTTTAGTTAAGTGTACTATACCAATGTTAATTTCCTAGTTTTGATAACTGTACCATGGTTATGTAAGATGCTAATGTTAGAGGAAGCTGAAGAAGGGTATACAGAACTGTATTCTATTTACAGTTTTTCTATAAGCTTAAAATTATTGCAAAATAAAAAGGTTTAAAAAAGTACATTGGATCATGTTGCTTCTCTGCTGTAAAGTTTCAAATAGAACCTAAGGTGAGATCCAGACTTCCATACCATAGTCTATAAATTCCTACATGATCTGGCCCAGCTTGCATCTCCAGCCACTTTTGCCCTTACCCACCATGTCACCTGAGGCCTTTTGCGCTCACTGTTTCTTCTGTCTGGAATGTTACTGGCCTAATCATCTCAAGAGTGACCCCTTCTTGACATTTAGAGCCCAGCTTAATGGTCACCTGCTCAGAGAGGCTTTTCCTGACCACCCAGCCCAACGCATCTTCTCTCACTCCCCTTTTATTGCTCTATCTGGTATTTTTCTTTTTGTGTTTTGTGTTTGTGATGACAGATTTTTTATTTTCTGTCTTCTGTTACAGAAACAAAAGCTCCATAAAAACAGGGACCTTGTGTGTCTTGTCCATCTTTATATTTCCAGTGGTAAGAACAGTGCCTAGTACATATTAGATCATCCATAAATCTGTGCTGAGTGAATTAATGCTGCCAAGCTAATTGGTTTTATAGTTCTTTAGTTCCCTTTTTAGGATACATCTGAAAATCTAATCAGCAATTAAAAATGAATAGGGTTTTTTTTTTTGGTGTGTCTGAATTCTTAAGTCCCAGTTAAGTTAGACCTTTTAAGTGGAAACTGGCAAGTCATCTGATACCTGTGTTGCACCTGAATTTTAAACTTCTATAAATTAATTTCAGTATTTGAATTTTAAAGTTAAAATTAAGGAATGAACATCCCTTCTCGGAAAATGACAGTCATCACTTAGTAACCCAAGCTGGAGTCTGATGAGGATGAGATGTTTTCCACCTCTCTCTGAGTAACACTGCCAATTAATTAGAGTCCAGCTCTTAAAAGGAAACCTGTTTCCCACCCCAAGTTTAATACTCAGGTGCATAAAATAACAAAAATAATTTTTCAAATGCTTCAACTTACTTGGGCTTATTTAGGAAAGAGTACATTTCACCAACTATATAATCATTTGGGTACAATGAATTGGTTTCTTCGTAGCCTTAAGCTAAATATGTTCATTTGTATGTGACTTGAGACTTCAAGGTAAAAAAGGTGACAGTAGTCTCATGCTATTATGAACAAAAATGTGAAATTGCTCTCCATAGGGACATATTCATTGTGGAATTGAGTGAGTCCTATATCAGTAAGTAGAAAGAAGTTACAGAAGGTGTTAAAAACAACAAAACTTATAATTATAGTTTTTTTAAAATCTACATAGAATCGTGGCATAAATATCAAATAAGCATTTAAAATGAAATAAAGTGGGATAGGAGGTGGTGGGGGAAAATAGTGTATGAGGATAATGAGGCAAAAATTATAGTTAATTTAATTTTACAAGCACTTAACAGTGCCCTGAATGCCCAGCTTGGGGAATCCAGAGTTGGATGAGGTCCCTGTCCTGAGAAAGTTAGAGTCTCATGGGATAGACAGACACATACCCAACCATGAACACCCTACTATCAGATGCCAAGAGGGCGCTGCTATCCAGAGAAATGGGGATCAACTAATTCACAGCCTTTAAGCTTTGAGTAGTGAACTTGATTCTTGAGGGACAGAGAGAAAGGAGAGTAGTCATTTATTTCTCAGGAAGAATGGATTCCAAAAGATTCATCCTCTGCAATGTTTAGTGTGAGCTACAGTCACAAATTAATAAGGAAGCAGTAGCAAGTATAACCTTCACCTTTGGATTTGTGGTTCCTGGCTTATGCTCTCATTGGAGAGGTTATGTCAGGAATGGGATGCATTCTGAAGGAATTGTGGATTGTTTATGAAAAGGGACAAGAATCCTAGTAGCATTTAAAAAGCATTTTTAGAGACACATGATATGTAAATGCATAAATACAGAAATGTGAAATAAGAATAGTGTTCAGAGTAAGTCCATAGAAATGCTGTATATGGAAAAGAAAACATTTAGGAAACTCAGTGTCACTCTTTGCTCAGCTGTTGGTAAATGTGGATTGGGGACCAGTGGCTGTGTAGGAGCCCACTGTTCCATTGTTTGAAGACACACAGTTTTATAAATCAGCCCCAGTGTAGAGAAAGAGAGTGTTTTGCTATTAAAAATATTGATGCTATGATTATCTTTCCATATGCAGCTTTGTGCCCATTTCACTAATTCCTTGGAATGTACTCCTAACAGTAGAAGTGCACTGTTAAAAGATACATAGAATTCTGTAACATTTCATGTTTACTGCCAAATGAATCTGCAGAAAGCATGTACCAGTCACTAGCTCACCAACAGGGCCATCTCAGGTTGTCTTTAGAAATAAAGCCAAGTTTAGGCATGACCAATTCACGGTTCCAGCTCTGCATTTTTTTTTTAATTTTTTTGAAAATTTATTTATTTGACAGACAGCGAGAGAGAGAACACAAGCAGGGGGAGTGGGAGAGGGAGAAGCAGGCTTCCCGCTGAGTAGGGAGCCCGACATGGGGCTTGATCCCAGGACCTGAGATCATGACCTGAGCTGAAGGCAGACGCTTAACGGACTGAGCCACCGCCCCCAGCTCTGCATTTAAAAAACCCATGAAGGCATAGGGTACCTGGGAGGCTCAGTCACTTAAGCTTCCAACTCTTGATCTCAGCTCAGGTCTTGATCTCAGGGTCATGAGTTCAAGCCCCATGTTGGGCTCCATGCTGGATGTGATGCCTACCTAAAAAATAAACCCATGAAGACATTAAGCTGATTACCCCCCACCCTCAATCCCTACTCCCGCTTCAAACCAAAAACCCACATCATGAATAAGGTATTGGAATTGCTTTATTATCAAGTAGAATGTAACTCAGAAAGCAGAGATCAAAAAGTCAGCGAGAGAGAATAAGCAGAGGAAACTGGCTCTGTATTATAGGCAGCCACAAAAGATTCCCACAGTCATAATCGACAAACCCAACTTTTTTATTTCAGCTTGAAACAGCACATTATCGGCTCGCTTTTCAGTGCAGAGGTCATTTTCTGGTTCTGATTACAGGGCACCAAACACACTGACAGATGTACTCAAGTGAATTTGATCTTTCCTTTTGTAAATGGAGGGACAGCATGAAAGTTAAATGGTGGGAGGGGGGGAGCTTACCTTGTAGCTTGCCACGTGGATTTAATTTCATCCCGTCTTTGCCTCTAAAAGAGCGAGGACCGTGTGGTGTCTCTCTCCACTCTGTAATAAAAATGCTTACTGTTCATGGCTCCTTTTGGTCTTTTCTTCATCAGTCTTGTCTCAAGAAGAAAACGAACTGGGAAAATTTCTCCGATCCCAAGGCTTCCAAGATAAAACCAGAGCAGGAAAGATGATGCAAGCAACAGGAAAGGCTCTCTGCTTTTCTTCCCAGCAAAGGTGTGTGGCCTTCACTGGGGCTCCATTTGGGGGGTCGGCAAAGAATCTGGGATCCACCCAGCCATGGAGGGGACTCTCCTGTTGTTCTCTAGAAGGCTCTTGCCTGAGACTGAGGAGCTACTCTGTTCTCAGTTATTAGTCTGTTCTTAACTCTCTGATTAAGATAACATGTATGATTTATTTTCCTCCCAGTAATTGTTAAGTTTTTTGTTTTTTTTTTCCATATTTCTCCTGGTCTATAGGCAGCATGTTATGTACCAATCACTGTGAGTGCTGCCTAGGCTTATGTTTGACCTTTAGCATTGCTAATAGCATTCAGTCTGGTCCCCTACCAGCAACTGATTAAAGCAGTAGCCTAATGAGACCAGGTGGAAGGGTTCCTTCTCTGCTCTCTGTGGGCCAATTAACTTTGGAGAGGTGGTGTTCACGATGCCCTGAACTATTCTGCTCAGACCCTGGACCAGCAACATCAGCAGCATCCCCTAGAAGCCTTTTAGAAATGCAGAATCTAGGCCCCATCCCACAACTGCTGAATCCAAATCTGCATCTTAATGAGATCCCTGGTTGATTTCGATGAACATTTAAAAGTTTGAGAAGCTCTGGTAGAGAGGAAATTGTGGCAGATGAGTGACATTTTTTTTTAACACTCTCATGACTCATTTTTATGGTTGGTGTAGAATAAGCAAGAGCCCCTGCACATAGTTGCATTTTGTGCCTGAGAAAAGTAACACTCCTTCTCTACTCCTCCCCACCTCAATAACAAACTAGCCCAAAAATGTCACTCACTAATATTAGGCAAGATTATACCTAAATAAGGCATTATAGGTAGTTTCCAAAAATGTTCAGGCTACAAAAATTTCACTTAAATTGTTCAACATTTTCTTCTCCTAATTTCTCCTTCTTTCCTTCCCTGTGGACCAAGAGCAGACATCAGCCTGTTACACAGGTGTTCCTATGAAATCCTGAGAAAGCTGGAGTAGCAGAAAGAGACCAACTGTGTCAGTTTCCCAGGGTTCCACTCCTGGGTGTGTTGGTTCTGCCTAATAACATTTGGACCCCAACTTTGTGGACAGTGCCAACTTTCACAGTTGAACAATACCATTTCCAATAGTTCTGTATCCATTTCCCAGGAAAAGTGTTGCTTATGATTTTTAATTGTACCTCTTAGGGGTGCCTGGGTGGCTCAGTCATTAGGCATCTGCCTTCAACTCAGGTCATGATCCCAGGGTCCTAGGATCCAGCCCTGCACTGGGCTCCCTGCTCCGTGGGAAGCCTGCTTCTCCCTCTCCCACTCCTCCCGCTTGTGTTCCCTCTCTCGGTGTGTCTCGGTCAAATAGGGAAATACAATCTTTAAAAAAAAAAAAATTGTACCTTTTAATCTAATCGTTTTTCCTTGTAAAAAATACGCATTGTTTCAGAGAAAATTAAAATGCAGACAAATCAAAAGAAAATTAAAAAGCAATTAAAATTTTACTAATAGAGATGACCCACTTTTAACCCCTTGATGGATATTTTCTATGCATATGTACTTACCCCACCCTCACCAAGATAATTGGTTCTCAGTCTTTCAAAGAGTAAATTCTCATATGTTAAACATATAATTATCACTAATTTCAGTGGGAAAAATTCTTATACCTACCAGTATGCCAAAACTTACATCCGTTTATGGGAAACAAAGCCAAATCCCTGAAAACAATCACTACCAGAGTTACCATTACTGATCCCATAATTATTTTATAATATGACTCTCTAGCTACATCCTTTCAGAGTTGGGTACCAAATTATCTCCCAGAGCACACATAGGGTACCTTGAGTTTATATAACCTAACCTTTGGTTACAAGCAAAAACAGAAATCGACAAAAACAATGCAAATGATACTTCAAAGCATCACTATAAACTAGCAAAGTGCACTATATCCATAATTTAATGCAGCTTGGACAACTTTAAAATTTGGAAGGTGACCTGCTGCAAGATGGCTCTGGTTTCATACCACTCAGCTGCTGACCAAGCACATGACATCCCAACCAGTCCTCCTAACATAAAGACAGTACAGGATGACCTAAAACTCTCACGAAGTTAAATTTTCAGATCTTGAATGGATGTAATTTGGGATATGCCAGAATATGTTTTTAATATAAATAGCATCATGCCATACAGTTTTTGTATAGTAGTGCTTACTGATCATTTAGCAAATTGATTTTTTGATCAAATAACCGTAACACATTTTGCTTCTATGTATACATTTTTAAAAACATCTATACCATAGTATTCCAGGGCATGCCACGATGCAGTTAACCTGAGCCCTTCTGTCTATTACTTAGGTCGCTTCCACATTTTCCTACTAAAGGATAAATGTCTTTGGAGTAGACCTGTAGATACTTTATTAATCTTTCCCTTTGTGTAGATCTTCATCCATGAAAATGTGCAGCAGTCTTCCACTGAAGCTTGATATTTCTGGTTATTGCATTTTTCCTTGGTCTAGACGCAGTCCCTGGTACCACCAGGAAACAGGTTTTCACCTTTCTAATCTTATATGAAGCAAGTTACAGAAAAAAATGAGGTGATTTTATATGCTTTTTTCTTTTCTTCAAGATCTTAACATCTGTCATCATGTCATTACCTCTTCAGAGGTTTCTTTCTAACTTTACAACAGTCAAAGAAATCGAGAATATTTTATTCACAAGATACTTTTTCAGCCAGTTTAGGGAAATTGGTAAGATCCAAGGGAAAAGAAAGAGGAGTCCAGAAATGAACAGGATCCTTAGGGGGACAGCTGAGGGCTGTTTCTCTCTTTAAATAGAAGTCCCCAGTTTAAAAACCTTCACAGCAGAATTTGTTTTACTGACTTATTTGATAGTCATTGCTACAACTGTGCATTCAATTTGATGAAAGGTGAGTATTAAATTTAATCCAATGGCGATAAAGCACAAGCTTACTTTATGGCACCATAATATGTCTGAAAACCACCTGCAACGCTTACGTAGGATGATGTGAGCAAACTTTTTAGAGAAATGCTGACTTTAAAATAAGCAGTGTTTTACAGAAAAGAGGAAAACAGGAGAAAACAGTAAAAGGGTTTTTTTCCTTAAACAGTTTATTGCCCCCATCTATAATCTGATAGTACTGTTGGAACTGCCAAGCACTGACTTCAGCTCACTAACATTACTGTTCTCTTCAGCTTCATAAGTTTGCCTTTAAGTTGAAATGTAATTACTCATTTTCATGTTTTGAACCTATGTGCTGCAACCTCATGGAGACAACTGTATTTTAAGAGTGTAGGTCATGTGACATTATTCATTTTGGGTAGGGAAGAAGCAGTATTGCCCTTCCCTGCAAAATAAATATTTCATTCAAAGTTTGATAAGCCTCAAACATTTTTTTCTTGCTAAATAATGTATGTTAAAGCTAACATTATAATTATTTTATATCCACCTTGTATAATATACATTCACTTATGGTATAGGATCCTCAAGTTTTGTTTCTCTATAAGGATCTATCATATACCCTATCTGTGCCTAACATGTAGATCCACAGTGCTTCTCTCCCTTCCTAGACCATTTAAAAATGCTTCTGGGACGCCTGGGTGGCTCAGTCATTAAGCGTCTGCCTTCGGCTCAGGTCACGATCCCAGGGTCCTGGGATCGAGTTCCACATCGGGTTCCCTCCTCGGCGGGAAGCCTGCTCTCCCTCTCCCGCTGTTTGTGTTCCTGCTCTCGCTATCTCTGTCTCTGTCAAATAAATAAAATCTTTAAAAAAAAAAATGCTTCTGTTTGGGCCACCTGGGTGGCTCAGTCAGTTAAGTGTCCGACTCTTGACTTTGGCTCAGGTCATGGTCTCATGGTCATGAGATTGAGCCCCATGTCAGGCTCCACACTCAGCACAGAGTCTGCTTGAGATTCTTGCTATCCCTCCCGCCTCCCCCCTCCCCGGCTCGTGTACTCTCTCTCCCCTGTCTCTAAAATAGATAGATAAAATCTTTTTTAAAAAATGCTTCTATTCATGCTCCATTCTCTGTGACTGTTGGAGCACGCAGCAGATTGCCCTGGCATTTGGAAAGTAATCCAAAATGACCTAGCAGGGGAGACCCTAATCATGCACAAGTCCATCCCTCTTCAAAGGGCCAGGCTTCAGAGGAGCAGAGACAGGGATGCCAAGAATAGAAATGGGAAATGATTGTGCATTGACCTTTCTCCATTAACACAGGATTGGTTCCAGCTCCAGAAAGATACTCTTTGCTCAGGCATGGGACTATCCCCAACAATACTGTTGGAAATACTTCCCAGTGGTCCAGTTAAATAACAGTAATCTAAGGGATCAGTACATGGGTAATCTGGTTGACTCATCAGTTCATCCATTTCAATCAAATATTTCTGCAGCATTGTCTATATTCCGGGCACTCTTCTAGGCTCAGGAATTTAAGATTGGTAAACTGTCAAGGATGCAAACTGCTGGCCTGCTTGGTTTCAAGATTATGGCTTTATCCCCTTGTCTAGGTTGGCCTTGAGAAATCCTTTGTGTCGATTTCACCAAGAAGTGGAGACTTTTCGGCACCGGGCCATCTCAGACACTTGGCTGACGGTGAATCGCATGGAGCAGTGCCGGACTGAATACAGAGGGGCATTATTATGGATGAAGGATGTGTCACAGGAGCTTGATCCAGACCTCTACAAACAAATGGAGAAGTTCAGGAAGGTAGGAGATTTTATGAAGGTTACCAAGAGGGGTACCTGCTGGAAGGTAATGAGGTGTGATTTGAATCACTCTAGTGAAGAAGACATAACTCAAAAGCACCAAGGATGCAATTAATCATTGCCAGTGTCTTTTTATGTGACAGAATACCAATTAATGTGATACATAATTCTCTAAGGGTAAGATAGAAGAGACAGCTGGAAATTGCTGGGATTTAGTAACTGGTTCTAATTGAAGTCGGATTTTCATATAATGTACACTTTTTGTAAGGTTGTCACTTTAAAATGCTTTTTCATGCATAACTAAAGATCAAGATTAGATCAAATGAAACTGGAAAGTGAGGACAGACTATTGGAGAATCTTTTTTAATTGCTAATGAATTTTAAAATTAATAGAATAATACTCCTTTGTTTTGTGAAGTGGTTGAGAAGTGGTGGGGTTTGGTTGTGGGATTAACTAATGTTCCATCTGCAGTAGACCTCTTCAAAAATTTGAATAGTTAGCTGAGAAGATGGGTATGCTCTTAAATTTCCCTGAAATAACTGGTGAGCAGCAGAGGAACAATGTTCCCTTGGTTTTTTAATTATCTTGTGTCAATTTAGCTGTTTGGATATTTGGCCATACAAGGATATATCCCACCACTAGGTGGCAGTCATACACTGAGTATTTATGAAAATGCAGCGACTGTTGTGTACAATCTTGGTAGTTCTTTGTTTGGTTGATCTGGCTGTATTTCAGGGTGTGAAGGAAAAAAAAAATCAAGCAAATGTCAGGTTTGACATAATATTGTGTCAATTATCTTACTCATTTCAAATGATCCGTTTGTAATTAGTGATGTTGCTTAAAATCCCTAGATTTCTTTTTAGGTACATCATGTGGAGTTGTGAATGGGAAACCCTGCTAGTGCATAGGAGGTGAAGCGTGTGGGATGGGGGAAAGAGGGGACCTTCTGTTGCTTAAGAATAGGGTCACCAATTCTTGACCTACTATTAGATTGATGCAAATTCTTTTAAAAGCCAAATCTTATTTTCATTTGTAATTTGGAGTCCCTCTCTATGAAGGAAATCCGAATTTATTTTATTTCTGATTGTAGATAACCTTAATGTGGTAGCAGTATCTAAGTTTTTAGCAAGGCAGATTTCTGAATTCATGGAAAATCTGAACTGAAAAGTAAAGCTCATTCATTCCATAAAAGAGAAAATCAAGGCCCAGGCCACATTAGAAATTTCCTGACTTTCTAATCAGGCCAGTAATTTGGTTTGTCTTTGACGCTTTTTTTTGCAAGTTAGAGGAGGATGGAGTAGAGAAGTTAAAACAAAACAAAAAAAACCTTATCTGCAGAGAATAGTGCTAATCATTTTATATCTACTACCTCCTTTAAGCCTCACAATAATCAAGGCACAGATTTAATTTTATAGATGAAGAAAATGATACCTATGTTAAGTAACTAGCCCAAGGTCAGACAAGGAAATGAAAGAATCCTAGAAAATATGAATGATTTTTTCCTTAAGAGAAAAAAAAGGAAATTGACCTAAAATTGACATTTTCCTGGTAATACCTGTCCTGTGATTTATTCATTCAAAAAATATTTATTGAGCACCTTTTATGTACCATGTAATAAAAATTAAAATATGGGCCACCTGGGTGGCACAGTCGGTTAAGCGTCTAGCTCTTGGTTTCGGCTCAGGTCATGATATCATGGGTCATGAGATGGCGCCCCAAATTGTCCTTGGGCTCTGCACTCAGCGGGGAGTCTGCTTGAAGATTCTCTCCCTCTGCCCCTTCCCCCAACTTATGCTTGCATTCTCTCTCAAGTAAATAAATCTTTTTAAAAAATTTAAAAATACAATTATTCTGGGAGGCAGGAGAATTTCATGTAGACCTGTGTTTATTTGGTTTTATTTTGGAGGGTGGTTACTAGCTGTGTAACAATGAAATAAAAAGCAAGCCCTTCATCATTTGGTTTGAATGTTGAAACATTACCCACTCTTTAGTGTCATCAATCTGTTGATTTTGGAAAATATGGTTTAAAAGAATCCTTTTCCATGCAGAAGTAGCTGAAGAGATGCCTTACTCTACAATCCCATGTGTGCTGGATTTAATTTAATAGCTGAACATGGTGTACTTTGAATTTAGGGAAAGACTTCTTTTTTTTTAAGAAGTCAATATTCAGGACTCCATCCTCCTCTATATTAGGCAGGACTGTCCATGAGGACAGGGACCATATTCGTCTCTTCACTATCATAGCCCAGGGCCAGACTAGCATTCATAGAGCATGGTCAGATTCCAGTCATTGAGTTTCAAGTTCCAGACCCATTGTTTCTCAAATCAATAGGGCATTCTGATCCCACGCAACTCACCTTGTGATGTGTTGGAATTGACATAGGGTTTTGCAGTTAAGAAGTAGTATTATTAATTTGTGGCTTGCTGCTTTCTTTGGAATGAATTTAAATTGTGGAGTTTGCTGTTTGCTTGGAGTTGATAACATGAAGTTTAACTGTGAGCAAGCTTTAGCGTTTTGTCCCAGCAGGATTCCATTTTAAACAGAGTCTCCATTTATCTCTCAGAAACAAGTTACCAAAACGCATTTCTGTGACCTCTGGGAGAGGGGTCTGGCTGTGGGTGGCTCCTTAGGAGTCACTGTGGGAGGGAGAGTCTCAGCCTCGGCAGAGCCAGCTGCCACCTTCACGTTTCAACTGATGAATCCAGAACTAAAGTAGCATTTTGCTATAAATTCAGTTCTTTGGAGTTTACACTTTCCGAGGAGACAGAATTCTAATTCATCCTCATAGATGAGATCCCCCTGGTTGCAGTCTTAAGTATGCATTCATTCATTTATTCATCCTCCCAACAAATGATACGGAAGCCCCACTGCGTGCTGGGCCACATGCACAAGGATATAGTAGCAGATAAGCAGACAGGATCCCTCCTTCCTGTCACATGTAGTCACGTGGGGATGGAGCAAGTAAACGTGATGTAATAGGATGAGGTGTTGTTGTCTGAGGTGACCCATGGTGCTGCAGGGTCGCTAGGAGGGGCTTCCACAGGAAGTCACATCTGAACGAGACAGGAAAGGATGAGTGGGAAGGAGCTGGGTGGAGGGAGTAGAGACTGCTGAGCAGAGTTCCAGGCTGAGGGAGAAACTTAGACAGTGGCCTTTAGATGAAAGCAAACAGGGCACCTGGAAGGACCTGGAAGGTTTTTACAACCAGAGCACAGAGGCAGAGCAGGTGTGGGAATGGGGGTGACCATACTATGGTAGCTGGCAAGGTAAGCAGGGCCAGGCTAGAAAGGACATCTCCGGAAGGCCGGGGGAGTGGGAGGGTGTCGAGGTGGGGAGGAGCATGATCGTCTTTGTGTGCTCACCAGCTCACCCAGAATGCAAGGTAGAGAAGGGATTGGGAGGACCCAAGCTGCTGGGAGGACGTGGGGAGACCTGGGTGCCCGAGAATGATGCTGCACGCGGACCCGGGGAAGTGTATGTTCTGCCCTCTCCCACACTCTGTAATTGCACCACTTTAATTACAGAGCTCTTCACTCTTCTTAGAAATGAGCAGAATAAGTATAAATAGCAAGATCAAGTGTACTTTCTCTTCCAACCATTGCTTTTCTCATCATGTTTTCAAGGTGCTAAAAACTTTTTAAATAATACACAGTGAGCATGACCAAAATGATGAGTGAAAAACTTAAACAAAGCAAATAATCTGTTTTCATTCTGACACCATTTGAAGCACATGGGCCTGATGACAGATCTCTCAGCAGCAACCCTAATAAGCATTTATTAAGTGCCTACATTTGGGGATGGAAATACAAAGAGGTGAAAAAGCTTGATCCCAGCCCTCAAGAAGGACCCTGCTAGTCATCTGTTCCTTGTCAAAATTACCATGATAAACAAGACACCTGGAGAGTGTGGCCATATGTAGCTCTTCTCCTAAAGACCAAAAAATAGGAAATGGATGAATTTCAGTGCTCAGAACTGGATGACGTAGGAGCAGTTGGAAGCCCCCTCCTGACAGTGTGATTCAACCCAGGAGGGAAATGGATGGGAGACTACGCCATGAAGTATTTTATGAGCAGTTACAATATGTGATATATGTGCCCTTTGAAGGCAGAGTAAAAGGGTATGATTTAAAAATAGAAGTCAGCTTCTTGTAGCAGATTACATCAGCTTAAGTTGTGAGCTCACAGAAGAGCTTTTGCAGCCTGATGCCCTTGAGAGAGTCCTCCTGTGGTCAATTAACTGTCTTGTTTTTCTTGAAAGTCAGAAATGGGATGGAGGGTAATTATTCTAAATGGAATAAAAGCTGCGTTAGGTGTAAGAAAATAGTTCTAAATCCTCTAAAGAGATAATATGGAAATGTATATGTGGGCATTTGTTATGAGTCGGAGTCCTTATGGACAAGGACAAGGGAATCAGCGTTTTAATGAGGGCCATTTATTAAATGGCTTAATCAAATCCTACAGCATTTGTCTAGGGTTTCATCACCATAATTCAAAAGGGTATCTAAAAGGGTATTGTAGGAAATGTGAATGATACACACTGGTATTCTTGGGCTTGTGTCTATTTAAAATAGTGTTAGATTTTGGAGAGCTGTCAGCTCACTAAAAGTCCTGTTATCAAAGGATATGTTACTGTGAGAGGTTTGTTAATAAATAACAGTGGCTTAATATGTGGGGCCTTATTGGGGTCATCAGCCAGTGGTGTTCCTGTGTCCGACTGAAGGTTTGGGTCTATAGAGCTTGGTCAAGGACTAGTAAACAGCAGTATTGACGTTAGAGGCTCCTTTTTTTCCTGTGGACAAAGACTTGGGTTAATTAATTTGACAGTATCATTAATTACTGCTGAAATCATTGGTCTTTGTCAGAGGTCAGGCTCTTTTAGCAATTGAGGGCAGGTCCCACGGGAGCTGGAGACGCCAAGTAATGCAGGAATATCACCGCTCAGCCATCTCCTCATTCTGTGTTAAAAGCCTTTCCTTTTTGCCCAGGCCATCCAGCTTTCT